GTGTTTGCTTATTAGAGAGAATAGCCTCAGTGGGTTTTAAGTCCTAATATGGAATAATCACAACCTTTCCAATCTCCCCATTTTAGTATATATTTTCTATGCTAGATTTAGTGCCAAGCCATCTTCTTATAATTTCTGGAATTCTGTACACTGGGATCCTATCAGACCAACCCAGGCCCCAGGCCAGGGCTTGGCCAACTTCAGCCTCTGGCCAAATCCCCCCGCCACCCATCTTTGTGCAGCCTGCAATGAATGGTTTTCACATTTTTAAGTGGTTAAAAACATTTTTTAAATAATATTTTGGGACACAAAAAATTCTATGTACTTCACATTTCAGTGTTCACAGACAGTTTTATTGGCAAACTGCACACCCATGCTTCTGCAAAAGCCTGCTCTGTGGCACCGTTAAGTAGTTGAGATAGAGGCTGCACAGTCTGCACAGCTGAAAATATTTACTATCTGGCCCTTTCCAGGAAACTCTACGGATCTGCTGACCCGTGCCCTAGCAGATGAAGCCCTGGACCACTAAAACAAGGCCTTGGGGTCCCCTCTGGGTCACAGCCTCAGCCTTCCTCTAGCCACTCTTCTTCTCACCTGCCTCTTTCCTTTGGCTACAAGGTTCTGACCATTCTGGCTTTGTCTAAAGTTCCCCACACCTCAGACACAGGAAAGTTTGTGTCTCCCTTGGCTTTGACCATACCTGCTCCAAAGAACATAGTCTGCCTTCCTATGCAGCCCTCCCTGCCTCATGTACATACCAGGCTCACCCACCCGAGGCTCTCCCTCGAGACATCTGCTGGGCTCATCCCGGGCTAGCATGAGCAAGAACTGGATAAACAGATTCTTTTCTTAAAAACAGATGCATTTTTACAGTCCAGTGGTGAAAATACACACACACGCACATGCCCACACACACACACACAATCTCATTGTTTTCAAAGACAGTGATAATATAATTTAGCGATCACACCCCAGGTAGCAATCCTTATTCTCCTGCCAGAACTTCAAAACCTCAATCTCTGATTCTTCACCAAAGCACACATTCCCAATCCCCATTTCTGTTTACAGGTGCAAGTGCCTCCCCCTGACCACCCTGATAGTGCAGAGACATAGGTAGGGTCAGAGGTGGGCTCTCTGTGACCCTCATTCCAACACAGTCCCTGCCAGTAACAAACAGCTTTCATCTGTGCCCTTTTGATGACTAATTGTCAGGAAACCTCCCTCGAACCCGGCTTCCTCAGGTGTGGTGTGCACACAGCAGAGTACCTTCATCTGCAGCTGTCAGAAATGCAGAAGCTGGGCCTCACCTGAGACCTACTGAACCACATCTGCATTTTAACCAGATCTCAAGGTTAAAGCTTGAGAAGCACCAATCTATATCTTCTCCTCCAATATCTATCCCCGATAGAGCTTCTCTTTGCTGGTGTCTTTATATCCTACCATTCTCTAGATTTTTTTAAAAAATATTTCTTCTCAGCATTTATGAAGAGGCATGAAATAAACATCTCAGGCAGAAAAAGCTAGCTGTTATCAAATTACAAATTCTGGAGAATTCAACTGTCTCCTTCCTGGAAATTTTCTGGTAGGTTACTAGACAAGTTGTCAATACATGAATTAAAGGGATGAATTCACTGAGAAAATGAGGATGGCAAATATTTTGTTTCTCTAAGGAATTCACTGTGAGAAAGTGAGATGATACAAGTTGAAGCTTCACAAATGATGAGGCTCCCTGCAAATGGTAATTAACACTAATAATGGTGATAAGCACTAATTATCCTAACATCACAAATGATCCCCATAATTTCCTGAGTAACTCAGTAATAATA